CATGCCGAAAAATCTTTAAAACAAAATGAGCACAAATCTCAGAATGCTCAACACCCAATTGTCTCCTTAAAATCATCAATAATGCAATCAATCACTAACGCTCAACCGACTACTTAATCCACTATTTCAAAGGTAATCTACATGCCTAAGCAAGATAACTTCATGCCCTAGGTTCAACATCACTACTTCCCCTCTTCACCGTTCCTCAAAACACTCTTGGCCTCGACAAAAGTCAAATGGGGCTACCAACTAAACCTATAAGATCAACATCATCCCAATCATTCCAATCGTTAGTCTATCTCTTTGAATCCTCGAACAACAAGCACTATATCCTCATACACTATACGCAACATAAAATTCAACTCCAGTCTATAACTTTCAACTTCCAAAACATAGTCCATTTGGTAACGTAGTACCTACCATCCATCACTTCATCCGCAACAACCAAACATACCGATGACTACATAATACCTGCCTTATCGTGCAATCCTATACTACACAGCTAAAACTAACCAATATACACCACCTCGAGACTCTCTAGACAGCCGTGCCAACCCAGAAACCCGCTCATCGACCGAGCTATGTAATCGACTCACCGAGAGTCAATTACCCATAGTACGCTCATATAACTCTCCGAAATGGGGATCACCCCTCGACAAACCAGTCTTTAAAACATACTCTTACAAGACTACAAAATGATCTACATCTTGTAACCGATCCTATATCACCCTAGACCTACAGAATCCAACAAATCCCCATGACAGTCAGAACCAACACACTTCCCTAAACCGTACCAAAAAACCCGAAATACACCTCTACAACCCATAGACTACATTCATGACTCAAACAACTTCTGTCACACCTACCACGACCGGTTTGAAAAGAACCTCCGCACCAAACTGTGATCCAAGTCACAAACACTAACCTCCTAAGGTTATACCGAAACTCGCACTCGCACACTGGACCTCCACGATCACTAAAACGCATACACCAATGCATGAAACTCACACACAACAAGGGCACCATGGCATAAAATATGAACCCGCTCTAAAGTCGTGCTCTATGTACCACACAAAATGTAATAAGAAGATCAAAATGAATACACACCAAATAGCTCAATCCACAAGCTAGAAGTCAACACCTGTAATTCGATAAGAATTAGTACCCAACAACCCTGGAGCAACCGAGCTCTTTTCCTACTCAGGTCAAAACTAACACAACATTCAATGCCATGACAAGTACTCTACCGTACTAGAAACCACCCCAATGCTCATCCACATAAGCATATAAGAATAAATATATACATATACACAAAATGAATGAAACCCACAATACCATGTTCATTACTTGTCACTTAATCATAAAAAAAAATTGCACTAACCGTGCTTATTACTTACCACCGTCCTATATCACATACTTTCCACCTTATCATGTATAACATGCTTTCAAATACTTTCAAATTTCATTTACATAGTTGGATCATATAATTATTCTACATACATGGCATGTAATACAAATTTTAGCGTTTAAACACGCAAGCATGTGAACACTTAGCAAATAAACATGTTTTTTAAAACCGTAAACATATAAACAATTAAGCAAGTAAGCATACTTCTCAGATAACAAACACTTTAACACATAAGCACATAAACAATGCAATCCACCTTCCACACAACCCTAAGTAGGCGTCTAACCGTCGTCCTACTAGTTTTCGAACCATTGCTCTGATACCAAATTTGTAATGACTCGAATCCGAGGTCAACTAAAGGTACTTCTGTCCTTTCTTATATCGATACATAATACGATTAATAAAAATAATAATAATAATGGGATCATAGCCATAAAATATGTCAAAAATAGTCTACTAACCCGTCAAAACCTGTGGAGGAACGTCGTCCGCCACTTCCCTTCCGTATCCTGAAAAATGTTAATAATGAGGTGAGCTTAAGCTCAGTAGAAGGTGTCTAAGACACACCTCTTATGACCCCATGAATCTACGTATAAAATAGAAGATAAGAGAACGGGATCATACTATACCGGGAATGTAAACCATAACCACAACATCCACTATAAACACAAATGTCATCCAAGTCACAAATTCATTATGTATACCGATGAAGTGCAATGCCATGCTCATGTTGCTCCCCATTTCCGAAACATTTCCCTTTCACCTTCCAAATCGTTAGTGTAATCCGGCCCAAGGCACCTTCAAGGCGTCACGAGGGAGGGATTGGCTAGCTTTTCCCCGACCACATGGCACCTCAATGGCGTCGACTGGGTAGCTCAACCACGCTAGAGTCTCTCTCTAACCCCCTCTAGATCACACTAACACCACGAATCACTAGGCGCCTCCTAGGCATCCGGTTTTCACAAATACTTTCAAAAACGTTTCCCTAAAACAATTTCATTGGTTTTTTTAAAAAATTACTTTTCCTTTTTTCTTTTTCTTTCCCAATGGATGCATGAATGTTTCATGCTTCACAATTTACCATAATTTTCACATCATTAAACCTTAACAATATTTCATAATAAAAGAAGAATTTTCTCATGAATTTATAGCATGCTTTCCATATCCAATCAACAAATCATACACACATATATTATTTACACATAACACACGTAAAGATACACATCATATATCTAGCATCATGACAATTTTTCAAGAAAAATTTACAATAAATCTCATACATTCCGTCTACATCATGTTCACATTATTAAGGGGAAATCCTAACATTTATTTTCATAATTTCAACATCACTTTTCTTAACAATTAAAAATCATGGGGCATCTAAAATATCAATATTAAGCATGTATCTTCACCACCAAGTATATAATCATAATCAAAGGTTCAATTAACACTTATAATACATCCATCACCTTAATTACATACAATCATAACAATATAGGCAAAATTGCTAAAATCAAACATGCTTAGAATCAAATTAAAGGGGAAAAGTTCGTAAAAGATCAAAGAAAACATGAATTAGAGCACCCCTACCTCACTTAGATGCAAAAACCCCCAAATGGGTTAAAAAATTCGAAGTTCCTAGGGTTTGCCAAATGAGGAATTGTTTGTATCAACACGTACATCTTGCCGTGCTCTCCGTTTTACCGCAAACGGCAACCAAACATTCCAAGGGATGAGAGACTAATTGAAAATGGAAGCTTTGATGAAAAAAAAAAAAAAAACCAAATTGTGGTCTCATGGCCACGGAATAAGCTAGTGGTGGGTCCAACCACTTCCAATAATTTTTTTCCTTAATGTAAATACATATATATGTATATATATATTTATATAAATCACAAATATTACACTTGAGAACGGAGCCTCTTTGGAAATATGATAAGCAATTAATACTATCCTCTCATTTCCTTTATTTTCTTTTCCCTCCTAACTAATTTTATTTTATTTTTTCTTATCCATTGTAGCCAAAAGGCAGTAGATAAAGATTATTTTGTGGCATGTGATTTGGACAAAATTTATTTCAAGGAAAATGATAAAGTGCTTAAGTGATTTGGGTAATTGAATGTAGAAAAGAGTTGGACCTCACTTGCCATTCCATTTAAAAACTTAAATTGCGGAAAGAAAAATATTCCAATTTTTAAATAAGTATAATCTCATGATTTAAATATTCTATACATAGATAATATTAAAACAAAAAAAAAAAAAAAATAATAATCATATATGACCACACACGATATTTTTTTTTCCTTTTTTATCAAAGAATTAAATTTGAAGATTAACATGCTCTAAATTTTAGTCAAGGATACTCAATTATTAAATTGCGTAACATGCTCATGTTCCATCATTGTGTTATATATCTATATATATATATATATATATATATAAAAGATTGCAAACACAAGTTGCATATCATCAAAATTTCAAAGTCCCTTTCTTTCCTCTCCAAAGAATTCATGAAGATGGGTTCGTTCAGCAAATGTCCATTGTTGCTTGCTTTGTTCATTGTCCTATGGAATGGGCTTGTTTTTTCTGCTCCCCTTGATGCAAACATAGATAATATATTAAACTCCGTGACTAGAGTTTTCATTTACAACGATCTCGAAGAAGGGATAAATCTAACCCTTCATTGTAAATCGAAGGACGATGATCTTGGTATTCAAGTGTTGCCTTTTGGAAATTCCATGATAATTTTTGGGGAACTACACTTTTCTTTTGCGGTTTTGCATGGGAAAATGTAAATGAAACTTTTGACATCTATGTTGAAGACAGGGATTTGAGCACAAGGTGTGTTTGGAGAGTGAAAAAAGATGGAGTGCATGGATATAATGAAGATGGTACTGAGAGACTTTTCTTCAAGTGAAGTAAAAAACCACCGATGCAAGCAAATTATGGTGAGGAAAAAAACTTAAACATGCACCTCTAGTACTTCAACCTCTTGTAATCAGTGATATGGTGTAATAACTGGAGTGTTTTTATATTGAAATGAGGAATCTTTCAAAATTTTAAAAATTCTTGAGAATGTGTAGCCTTGTCCATTACACTAATCATGAATGCCACAATAGATGAGGATTGAAGTCAAGTTATTACAGTTTATATTTGGAATTATATCAGCATCACTTGCCAAGGGTAATTTACTAAAAAGCATTCTCAATTTCTGTGATCTTCTCTTTTTAATGAAGAAATGGAATCTATTTTAGGCAAAAATGCATTAAAAAAAAAAAATTTTTAAAAAAAACTATGAAGTTTTACCAAATAAGCACAATACCGCCCACCCAGAAAAGTAAATTATAATTATATATATATATATATATATATATATATATATATATATATTATTACTATTAACCCATTCTATTGACAATTCCTGAATTCACCCTTGGTTATATTAAAACAGCTTCAATTAAATAGCTTACTCTTATTACATAATTAATTGCAAGCTTACCATATGCATTGATCATTGATTTTACTCTCCATTGGAATGACTCGAGCCAAGACTTCAAGTTCATCCCAAGCACTCCACTTCATTCACTTCTCTTCACCCACTAAGCATTCGAATTGGATTTCTGTAAGCTCCTCTCTGTATTATTCTTCTCAGAAAAACCTGATCCACATGTTTGTAGTACCATTGTCTCCATCTTCTACAGAACACAAGTGGCCAGATGATGATTCCTAAGCCCACGATAAATCCCAATGCTGCACTTAGGTAGACCTCTGTCTCCAAGATTGAATGCCCATCTCCGAATATTGGTGGTGGTGAATCTCCAGCAATATTATTGCAACTCGTGTTCAAAGGGAAACCGCATAGCCCTGGATTCCCTACAAATGATGTTTCTGAGAATGTTTGAAACTGGGAACCTGTCGGAATTTTTCCAAACAAAAGATTGTATGACACATTCAAGAGTGAAAGAAATGTAAGACTTGCAAGTTGTGTCGGGATCATCCCTGTTAGCATGTTCTGTGAAAGGTCTAATGACTCGAGCTGCTTCAAGTTTTCTAATGATGCTGGAATTGAGCCATTAAGAGCATTGTGCGATAAGTTGAGAAGAACAAGCGCTTTGAGATTTCCAACAGTATCTGGTATTTTCCCATCAAATATATTGCTTGAAAAATCAATGCATGTAAAGATGGCTAAAATTTTCACCCACTCCACCTCCTTTGCTTTGTAGATGACATTCACTCGACTTGAATAATACCCAGAACCATCTCCGAACTCATACCCCAGATGATCTAACTTTGGTTGAACATTATCATTGTCAATCACCATTGCCTTCCAATTTGAGAAATAACTTGATGGTAGATTGCCGCCAAAATTGTTGAAAGCTAGGTCAATGATCTGAAGATTCCACCAGCTTTCATTATTTTTCCCTTGGCAGTTAATGTCTCCATGGAACCTATTAGAGCGCAAAACTAAAACATGTAGACTAGATATGTTTTCCAAAAAGCATGGAAATCTGCCACTTAAAATATTCTTACCAAGGTTTAGAACTTCCATCCCTCTGCAGTTTGACAACGATTTCGGAACCTGCCCGTCCAAATTATTACCACTGAGATCCAAAGTCTGTAGACTACAGTTTTTGGGAAACATACTCAAAACTTTTCCACTTAATCTGTTATTTCGCAGATTTAATACTCCAAGACTAGTACTACTCCTTTTGATCAAACATGATGGTACTGTGCCATTCAAACGATTATTGGACAGATCTAGAACTTGAAGGTATTCCATATTGCATATTGACTGAGGAATGTTTCCAATGATGCTATTATTTGAAAGAGAAAAGAAATAAGAATTGGTGAGGAAACTGCCAATCATAGTAGGGATAGAAGAGCTGAAACTATTGCTTGAGAAGTCCATGAATTCAGCCAACACTCCTGGTATGGGGATTTCCCCATGAAACTGATTAGAGTGTATGTCAAAGGCAGCAAGGTAAGTGTGAGAAACATAGGGCTCTTGCAAACCAGAAAAGAGATTGTGAGAGAAATTCAAGTAAGTGAGTCCTCCATTGCTAACAAGTAGCCCTCCATTCGAAACTTCCCAAATCCAGTTTGGTATTTCCCCTTCAAGTTGGTTGTCGGAAAGGTCCAACTCAGCTAACATTGATTGGTTCTTCAGATCTGGAAAACTTTGCAGCTTGCAAGAAGCCAAATATAATCCTTCAAACTGGGGGATGAAAGTGAAGTTTGAACTACTGCCACTTGTTGTATGGATTGACAAGCTGTTATATGAAAGGTCGAGGAAAGAAAGATTGTGCAGCCTATAAAAATTTTCCAATTGTAATAGGCCACTGAAGTTGTTGGAATTGATTACAAGGTCAGTAAGCCTTCCGAGCTCAAAGAAAGACATGGGAACCGACCCTTGTAAATTGTTATTTCTCAAATTGAGGATCTCTAGTAGAGAGGAGGAAGCATTAGAAATTTCGCCAACTTGACCATCAAATTTGTTAAATGAAAGATAAATTTCTTTCAGCGACGGAAGATCTAAAAGAGATGATGGAATGGTTCCACTTAGTGAATTATGGGATAAGTATATGTAGGAGAGATTCTTGGAAAATGATGGAATTGGACCAATAAACATGTTGTAAGCCAAATCCAAATGAACAAGTTGAGTAAGGTTTGCCAATGAACTAGGGATCGGTCCAGTGAAGCTGCAATTAAAAACATCTATCATGGACAACATTCGAAGGTTACCAATAGAATCTGGTAATGTCCCGGAAAAATTTGTGTACCGAAGAATCATGGTCTGGAGAGATCCATGTTGGGAAAATTCTGGTAAATAGCCCTGAAGTAATTCATTGACCCCTACATCAAGTGTACGTAGAGTTGGTACGTGGAAGATGCTTTCCGGAAATGTTCCATGCAAATTAGAATCCTTGAGATATAATTCTGTCAAATTGGTGAAGTTTGCAACGAAATTTGGAACTGGGGCTGACAAATTGTTCTCACTCAAATTGATCACCGAAAGGGACCGGAGATTCTCAAGAGAAGAACAAAGAGGACCTGAGAGATGACAGCGAGACAAGCTCAAGACTTGAAGATTAGGTAGTGAAGAAGATATGGCTTGGCACCATTCCTCTCCCATGGATGATATATTTACACCATCAAGACGGAGTTCTGTGATCTTCGTGAGATTCTGAACCAGCAATTTTAGATTTGAGTTGCCAAGTTTTAAGTCGTAGTTCCAAGAGAAATCCAATGAGACCAACCTTGTCAAGAGCGAAATTTCAATTGGAAATTGCCCTCTCAAGTTGGCATGTGACAAATTCAAATATGTCAAATTAGTTAGCTTCTCAAACCCAGAAGAAATATGCCAAGAGCTGAAGATGTTATTAGCAAGATTCAGACTTTGAAGATACTTGAGACTGAAAAGACTACTTGAATTGTGGATTCCTCCAGAGATAAATTCATTGCTCAAGTCTAGACCAACAACATGACCCATATTGTCGCACGTCACGCCACCCCACTCACAACAATCCGAATTATGATTCCAGAACCGCAGCTTGGTTGAAAAACGATAATTGAATTCGAGGTTGTCCTTTAACTGGAGCAACAAAGTTTTCTGATGGTCTAAACATTGGCTGTCAGCTGGAACGATAGTAATACAGAAGATTGAGAATGTGGTGATCAAGAAAAACCATATTGAAAACCTCATTCTTAGGCAACAAGTGAAGTTGAAATGAGTTACGGTCAGTGGCTTTAGATCTATCTGCAATCATTTTCGAACACTTGATCTAAGATAAGACCAATGAATGACAAGGAAACTTCCTGTTTTGGCTTCAAAATCATTTATTTGTTTAGGTTGGTACTTTTCGTTTCATCCTCAACAGAAGAAATATCACTTGGTTAATTGTTTAAGAACATACTACAAACCATTGGAAGAGTCTTCTAAATCCATTGTCTGTCTGTTTGCTGGTAGAGTTTTCTAACTTGTCATGTAGCATTTGTGATGAGTTATGAGCATCCCTTGCTAATTCATGAATTCAAAATGTTGACAAGAAAGAACTAAATGACGAAAGAAAAAATACTAAAACTAGATTATATGTTGTTGTCTTAGTCACAAAAATATAATATCACATTATAACTAATGTGAAAAAATAATAATAATAATCTTTTTTAATTTAGCCGCCCAAGATGTTAGCATTATTTTTTCTTATACATCTTTTTCACTGTAGATATTGAAAGGTTAATCATGAAATTCAACATAATATATATATTATTTATATATATATATAGATATATGTATATCTACATATAATTTATATTATAAATTAGTGAAGACTGAATGGCCATCTGACTTTAGGGGCATTTTGCACAATTATGAAAGGTGACGAGGGTTTTTACTCAAAAGCGGTTCAATGGGTTTTTTTGCAAAAGGTTAGATGGTTAAAATGACATTCTAACAGAAGGGGTAATTTGTCAAATATAGAAAAATACAAAGGGGTTTAACGCAAAACTGAAAGTTCAGAAGATTTTTCTGTATCTTGAGGTATAATTAGGGGGCTTATCTGCAATTTATTTAAAAAGGAACCAATAGCCTGTGCAACTCAATTAAGAGCTTAAGAGAGAGATTAAGAGAGAGAGAGGGAGAGAGCCTACATGGTGACTTAACTTTTTAACATTAAATGCATAGACATGTTTATTGTTTACTCACTAAGGAAGTCAAGTTTTTATTGGGCTAATGTAATTAGCCACTTATTTATTTTTTTATTTTTTATTTCTTTTTTTTGGTAAAATTTTTAAAAATTTATTTTTCAAAAAAAATATTGTGTATTTTTCCCGACGGCCATATAAACCACTCATTTTCTCCTCTTTGAATCTTTAAGCCCACTTCTTTGCAACCTCAACTCCGATTTCTCTTCTTTGAATACTGAAGTCCATATTCTCTTCTTTGAATCCTCATCTTCATTAAAAATAAAATTAATAAAAAAATGGTTTCGTCATCACGATCTATTCTAGTGCCCGAGTCCAACTGTCCAAAAAAATTCTTCAGATTCTGATGGGAAGACATTTCTTCAAAGCCATCAAAAATGGATGAGAGTGTTTATGAGTTTATTTACGCACGAGAGGGTACAAGCATTCTTTCAACCTCCTAAGAGACGATATATTAAGCGTGATCGAGAAGAGGTAGCCCAATAGCTATGAAAAGATTATTTGGCCAAAAATCATATTTTTTCGCCTGAGTACTTCCATAGACTATTCCGAATCTAACGAGTTTGTTCTTTTTTTTTTTTTTTTTTTTCGCATTTTGAACGATGTTACAAATAAATAATGACCACTTCTTCGGACAGAAACCCGATGTTACTTGTGGTTTGGAGTGCACCCCTATACATAAGATGACAGCTGCGATTCGTATACTCGTCTATGGAATGTCAACGGATCTTTGAGATACGAGGGTCGTGGCTTGCCACGGATCGCCACAAGATTATCTATATCGGATGGCCAAAAGGGTTTTAACTATAGAAACACAAGTATTAAGTTGAGAAATTCCTACGGTTGCACATCCAATTGGCTTAGTTCTATAGAACTTGAAATGTAATGCATCTTCCATTGGTCTCCAACTTTGAATTGAGTTCCTTGGCAAGTTCGTGAACCACGTAAAGGCCAAGGTTGTCAAGGAATTGAAGAAAAGTTTGTGTCTTAGCCACTTATTGGCACCTATGTTACATGAACTCGGGTATGCGTGTCGGACATAGGTATGTATCAATGCGTCAGACGTGTCAGATCTCTAAACAAAAGGACACATGGACACTACTAAATATTCATTTTATTTAATTATTTTATTTTATTTTCTAAAAGAAAAACAATTGTTTTTATCTAATATAGTGTTCAATATAGGCATTTAACTCATTTTAAATTAATAATATAATATAATTGAATGATTGGATATGGTTTTTAATTACATGTCCACCCAAAAGTGTTGGACACATCCAATACCCATGTTCGAGCAATATGTGTTTGAGACGAGTATTTCCCTACTTTTGAATAGTCCATGTAACATAGGTTGGCACTAGCTTCCCTTATTTGGGCTGTAAATCAGCCAATGTACTCAATCATATGTTGTTTCCCTCAGGAGTTTTATAATTACTTGGTAGGGGAATTTCAACGACCCACTCCAAATAAGGCTTAGTGAAGTGTCCCTATCGATCTTGCTGAACAAAATTTCATATTGTTTTTTGATAAGCTTGCCCAACTGGTCTCTGTTGACACTCATTTGCTGGCCTTGAGGTTGACTGATTGGGGGTGGCATTGGCGGTTACCGAACTAGTGGAACCAGTGGTACGTTTGGCGAATTGTTGGGTTCATCTTACCCCATGATTCTGATACTTACTACCATTGTTGCTAATCTGAACTAGCTAAGAATGTCGCAGTTGCCCCCTTCTGGGACCTACTGAGGAAGCGGTTCCTGTGAATAGATGGGATGGGATTCTATGTCTGTTACCTACCATTCGGTGTCTCAAGACTTGTAGCCAAGTGACATCTCCTTTACTTTCAAAAGTAGAAGGTCGAGTGTCCAAATTTCAATTGGAACACTTAAAAAAAAAAAAATTGTACGGGTTTCTTGTCAAGGTAAAAATAAAATAATTAAAAACTCCATTACCATGGTTGATGGTTAGGGTGGGATTATTGCCTTGGGCTCCATTTCCTTAATTGTTCTATTAGATTAGTCCTTTTGTTAGGGCCATAAGGTTGTCATGAAAGATAACGTGGTAAAATTAGGCCACCACAAGTTGTAGGTCCCGGTGAGACTTCATGTATGGTGGCTACCATTCATTTAGTTCTCAAGCCTGGACATCATGACTTCGAGGTAGCCAATTGGGACTAAGTTGTACCTAGAATGGTTTGGCCAGGATTGCTTGCCTATTTACCTTCTCCGATCTTGATTTAGTCATTGGTTGAGAGGTTGATGGTGATGCTATGATTCTAGGTTATTACCTGGTCACAACATGCATCAACTAAAGACTTCAAAGTTTTAACGAATGCCTCAACCAAAAGACTATTTGTAGATATACAATTCCGCCCATTTACCAAAAAAAAAAAAAAAAAAAAAACAAACAAACAAACAAAGAATTCAGTATGTTGTATTTGAGCGACCAAATAAGAGACTCCTCCCCACCAAAGGATCTCCTATTTCTCTCACTCCACAACCCTACTATAAACATAGAGGAGTGGCCCTCCAAGCATCACACACTCGGTTTTCCACTATACACCCTTTCTAAGCCTCAAGTAGGTTAACCGTTGACTCAGGAAATACCTAAGCCAATCCAAAAGCAACCAAGAACATATCCCAAATATCTTTCGCCACTGGGCAATGAAGCAAAAGATGGTTCACAGACTCCCCCGCCTTCTTACACATGCAACACCAGCTCACCACGACCTGGCGTCTCCTTCTGAGGTTATCACAAGTGAGAATGCTTCCAAGGGCAGTGGTCCATGTAAAGAAAGCCACTTCAAAAGGGATTTCACCCTCCAAACAGCTCTCTAAGGAAAAGGGTTGGAGTTTCCATCAGATTCCGGTAAAAAGATCTAACCTCAAACACCCCTCTCGAGGAAGCTTCCAAATGAGTTTGAGATCAATTGTTATACAATTATGTATGCGTATTACCTTTATAATTGTATATAGCCTTTTTAAGGTAGAATATATGGCTGAAGCATTCTAAAATATTCCACATAAGCGTGGAAGAACTACGACAATATATAACAATTTTCAGGGTTCTCTCTTAGTTATACATTTTGCATGGTGGTATTCAAAGGGTGGTTGTTACGGATAAGGCGGAATTGAATCAAATCCAAATAATCATAGATATTGACAAAAGTTGTGGGAAATTCATAAATTATTCTAATCAATATTAGATTTATTTTCTTAGAATTGAATTTATTGGAACTTTATTAATAAGAAAACAAACCATACAAATCATATTATGGAATTTATTAAAGTAAACGTACCTGGTTCATAGCCACGAGACTTCAATTCAGTAAAAAACCCTAACACAAGCAGATATCACGGTGCTGAAATTAAACTCATCAAACCTTTGTCTTTTATTCTCATCTCATCCAAAAGGCTTAACATTTTAGTTAAAAAATGACCCATCTTCCCATAAACATTCAGCATGAGAGATTCCCTTTCCTTTGTCATTCAATTCATTTTTCCCATTAGAATTTGCCAAATCGAATAGAGAAATAGAGAACAGGAGAAAGAAAGATCGATGAACTAGATGAAGAAAGAACTCTAAACCACATATACAGGGAAGAAATAGGAGAGAGAAGTGATGGAAGTTAGAGAAAGAAAGGAAGAAACGAAGACGAAGCTAGGGAGTGAACTTCGAGAAAGAGAAAAAATGAGGGGGATAATGTGTTAGCTTCTGGGTTTTTCTATGCTTTTAACGCGCCAAAAAAATATATATATAAATAAATAAATAAAATAAAATAAAAAATTGGATAAAGATGGAATTTGGTACCAAATGGGATTCGGACCTAAGTCACACCATCCTTCTCAGTAGGTGTCGCTCTCATGCTCTCGCTCTGCGCATGGTGTGATGACCCTGTGGGCGGATGTGCCGTGGGTGGGTGCGAGACACTGATAGGCTACCACATTGGCGAGTTACGGATGCACAGTCCCACATCACCTGGATAAGGGAAAGGTAGTGCTTATAT